TTGGATCCAGAGTATGGAGTATCTCTTTATTTATTGAGGTATTTAACTTCCCACAGCTGGTTTTGTAGTCTCTGTGTACTGGACTTGGACACTTAGTTTTACTGCTATGTATTTGACAGTTTTTGTGTTAGTGTAAATGGCATTTAAAATGTTTTTGATTTCTAATCAGTGGCTACATCGAAATACACTTGATGATTCTGTATGTTGAATTCCTATCCAGTAACCTTGCTCAGCTCATTTTAGTCCTAGTAGCTGTTTTTGTAGTTGTCGTGGGGTTTCCTGCAGTGATAATCAGGTTGTCTGTGAAGGGACAGATTTTGGCTGGGGAAATAGCTCAGTGGCACAGTGCCTGCCTGGCAAGTGTGAAGTTGTGAGTTTGATTCTCAGTACTAGAAAGCAAGCAAGCAAGCAAGCAAGCAAGCAAGCTTTTACTACGCCCTCTCCAATCTGCCTGTCCTTTTTGTTTTCTTTTCTTTCTTTTTTTTTCCGGCACCAGGAATCGAACTCATGACCTCATGCTTGCCAGGCAAGCACTGTGCCGCTGAGCTAAATCCCCAGCCCCCCTTTTTGTTTTCTTGTCCTATTGCCCTGGCCAGTCTGGTGCGGTGCTGAACAGATGCAGCGAAGCAGACAGCCCTGCCTCGTCCTGATTTAGGAGGCGGGCGATCGCTTTTTCCCCATTTAGCACTCACGACCTTGCACTTGCCAGGCAGGCGCTTTGCCGCTGAGCTAAATCCCCAGCCCCTTGTGTTTTTAATATGGAATTCATGCTGGAGTTTTGTTTTTTGCAGCTATTGATCATTGTTTTTCAGTCTGTACTATGCAGCCCTGCACAGCTTGAAACAACTTTACTGAGATCTATAATCTGTGTAGCATAAATCCGCTTCCTTAAAGTGGTGGATTCACATTCAGTGTTGTGCTTCGATGACCCATTCACGTTCTCATTCCCCCGAAAAGAAACTTGTGATCACTGACTGTGCTCGTCAGCTGGACTGGATGCAGAGACGTCTTGCAGATCAGCGTAGCACAGTTCCGGGTGGGTTGCGGGGCAGGTGACCTTAGGGACAACCTCTGGTTCCTAGCCCTTCCTCTCCACGTGCCAGAAGGCAAGCGACTTTGCTCTCCCACATCCTTCTGCCACGCTCTTGCTGCCGTGGAGCCAGCCAACCGTGCACTGATCTTCTGAACCCACGAGCCAGAACCTCCCTCCTTTAAGTTGTGAGTGCTGGGTACTTCGTCCCAACATCAAAAAGTGACTAATGAAAAGCACCCTGTACCCACTAGGAATCACTCTCCACTGACCCCTTTCCCCCGGGCCCTGCTAACTACCAGTCCGCCTCCATGGACTCGCCTGATGTGAGCATTTTATATCAATAGCATCATAACTTTAGTTTTTTTTTTTCATACCGGAGATCGAACTCAGGACCTTGCACTTGCCAGGCAGGCGCTTATGCCACTGAGCTATATCCCCAGCCCCGAGCACTGTAACTTTAGTCAGCCTTTGTGCCTGGCTCCTTTCATTAAGCAAACGTTTGTGAGGGGCATCCACGCCCGTGTGTGTGGGAGTTTCACCCCGCTCTGTCCCACTGGGTGGTTTTGCTGCGTCTAGCGTCTCCGTCATCGGCTGACAGGCGTCTCTCTCTGTTCCCACGTGTGGCTGTTGTGCAGAATGCTCAGGAAGGCCTGCGTACAAGTGTTTGTCGGCCACGCTTCTGCTTCCTCTGGGCATACACATGGGGTGGAACTGCTGGTCGTACGAGGACCCTGCTGACCCCCTGCAGGACTGTCAGGTGAGGGTGAGCCGGGGACCCGGCCCGACGGAACGGGCTGGCTGCCGGAGAGGCGCAGTGAGCCACAGCCGGAGCTGCTCCATGCCCCGTGGCATGCTTGCGCTGCTGTTCCCGAGGCAGAGGCTGCAGAGCGCAGGCCAGGTGTTTCGGCCCCGGACGGAGGTAATGGGAGACTCGCGGTGGTTGCTATTTAATGAGCACCTGACCAAGAACAGAGCGCACAGGTGGCCCTCGTGTTTACCACGCATTCCTGGCGCTCCCGGCTCTCTTTGCCTGTGTGTGGCCTCACACCTGTGCTCTGCATGCTGACGCCCCCAATCCATACTTGACGCTCCTGTGCGTGCATTCCATTTGTTTCTTTTCTTTTTCCCTCTCTCTTTTTGAGACAGGGTCTTGCTATGCTGTTCCGCCTGGCCTTGAACTCACTTTGTAGCCCAGGCTGGTCTCGAACTCACAACGATCCTCCTGCCTCAGCCTCCCGAGTGCTGGGATTACAGGCATGCGCCAGGCTTCTTTTTCCTTCTTTAATTTTTTTTTTTTTTTGCAGGATCTTGCTGTGTAGTTTAGGCTGGCCTCAAACTCACAGTGATCTTCCTGCCTCAGCCTCCAAGTGCTGGGATTAGGGGCATGCTCTACCTGGCTCAGCCATTCTTTCTTTTTTTTTTTTTTTCCTAGAGACCGGGTGTTATGGTTCGTGTCTGGGTGTCCCCCCAAAGCCTCATGAGGTCATGGGGCAGGCTTTTAGAGTTTGCTTGATTATGGGTGTGAGAGCTGCACCCGCCCTGGGGTGGATAGTTTGCATATGTAAGGGAGAGCAAGAGGCTGCTTGGGGCCGTTTCCTGGCTTTTGTGCTTCTGGCCATTTCCTCCCTTGTGTGTGTGCTTGTTGCTTTTGCTGTGTTCGGACACCATGAGCTGTAGCCCTCTGCATGTGCCACTCTGCCTTATAATCTGCCAAGTACGGACTAAAACCTCCACAAACTGTAAGTGAAATAAACCTTTCCTTCCTTCATTTTGGGCGTCAGGTATTTTGTCCCAGCAACAAGAGAAAAGTAACTAAGACACCGGGTCTTGCTATGTAGTTCAATCTGGCCTTGAACTCACTATGTAGCCTAGGCTGCCCTCAAACTCAGGGCAACCTTTCTGCCTCAGCCTCCCCACTGCTGAGAGTGCTGGGACTACAGGCATGCACCATCACGCCTGGCTTTCACTTCTCATCTTTTATAGAACTGAATACTTTGAAACTGTAAAATAGCATCAGGGCCGGGGATATAGCTCAGCAGCACAAACGCCTTCCTGGCAAGTACAAGGTCCTGAGTTTGATTCCTGGAACCAAAAAAAAGAAAATACAACCAAACCCTCCACACACCTTAGTCCTCTGTCTCTGTGGCACCTAATTCGCTAGTAGTCCAGAATAAGCGGTCAGTAAAACCCAACCAGCACCCTCAGGCAGTCTCCTCACAGACACGGTTATTGAACAAAGGCCCCTGCGGTGAAGCCTGGGCTATGTTGGGTTTTACCCCAGGGCGTGCTAGCGCCTTGACGCACTAATGTGGATGCCCTCGAGCATCCCCACAGATCCCTTCCTCAAGGGGTCCATCTCTAGGAGCAGATTTCTGCACAGGGTCCCCGGTCCCCAACTGCTGTGGCTCATGGCCCCTTAGGAGCCACACAGCACGGAGGAGGTGACGCTAGAGCAGGAGGTGACGCCTCAGCATGGCCGCTGCTGGGCTCCTCGCTGCCCACCTGCCTGGGCTCCGGCCCCTGGCATCAGTAGGGCGTTAGGTTCTCTGTTTGAGACGGGGTCTCACCTTATATTTCAGGCTGGCCTCGAACTCATGGCGACCCTCCTGCCTCAGCCTCTCAAGTGCTGGGATTACAGGTGTGTGCCACTGCGCCTGGTGAATTTTCTAAATGCAATTTTATTTATTTTTTTTCTAAATGCAATTTTAGATTTGGAAAATATTTCAGCTGCCCACTTGGAAGGTCTCCTTCAAAAACATGCAGTTTTCTCTCCCGTTTTGATGTCACAAAACATCTTTTCTGCTGTTCTCCCCACCTTGCAGTTTTGTTTGGTACATGAGATGCAGCGTACAATCTGTAAAAACTTTGAGGTTGTTAAGGTGGGCCGTATCAGTACATATTGCTGCCCCTTTTCATTCCCAAACAGCCCAACTTCATCCACGGAAGCCACAGTCTCTCCAGGACTCATCCTCTGCGCAGCCAAGGACATTACTGTGCATAAATAAAGCATTATTCTGTGCCTGAATCTCGAGGACTTTCAAGAATGCTTGAAACTATCAAAAATTAAGAGCAGGAGCCAGGCACATGGCGCACATCTGAGTAACTATTATCCTGAGGAAGAAATAGAATGTTACAACCGGGCGTGGTGGTGCACGCCTGCAATCCCAGCGCGTGGAGGCTTAGGCAGGAGGATCGCTGTGAGTTTGAGCCCAACCTGGGCTACATGGTGAGTTCAAGGCCAGCCTGAACTGCATAGTGAGACCCTCTTTTTTTTTTTTTTTGTCTTTTTGAGACAGGTTCTCACTATGCAGTTCAGGCTGGCCTTTAGTTCACTTTATAGCCTAGGCTAGCCTCGAACTCGCAATGCTCCTCCTGCCTCAGCCTCCCGAGTGCTGGGATTACAGGTGTGCACCACCACGCCTGGCAGAGACCCTCTCTCAAAAAAACAAAAAAATAAAAGAGCAGGAGCCACCATATAACTCACCATTATTGTGCAGTCTCTGAGGATATCGTATCTGGTTAAATAACCCTTAGTTATTGCGGGCTGATCAGGCCTGCAATCTCCCAAGCAAGTGGACGGCAAAGGCTTAAATAAATGAGACAACTGAAATGATTTCAGGGCTCCAGGAGGGACTAACTCTCTTACAGTTTTGATATTCTCTGAGTTTAGCCAAAGACTTCTCTGGGCAGCCCATATTTATTTGGTTTACAAACAAAGGAGGAGGATACTCAAGAAAAAGCAGGAATCTGGGCAGGACTTTTCCAGGTAATACATTATGTTATTTTAGGAGAACTATGTTATCTCCAGGAAGGCCTTCACAGCAGGGGTGAGATGCCTGCAGCTGCAGTGTCCTTTTACTTGGGGTTGGAGCCAGACGTCCTCAGCTGCGGCCTTATCTTGTCCTTTGAGGAGTCACAGCTTCACAGGCCAATACAGGCCTCAGGGTGACCAGTGACTCACAGAGGTTCACTTACTGTGAGTCCACTGCCCATCTTCAGGCAAGGTGCCTAACTCAGACAACTCACAAGTAAACACGGAGAGCCAGTTGGTTGACATGAAGTCCAGCTCAGAGCCGCTTTGCAGTGGTCCCCAACGTTGCCCAGTTTTTTGCGCTGCTTTCCCTGGCACAGAGAGCCTGTCGCTGTGTAATCCAATGGAACTGACCAGATGTTTTGCTTCTCTGACAAAGAGCCGTATGAAAGCAGATGTCGCCTCCGTCTCACGAGGTGCCCGATCGCTCGTAACGGAAGCCACTTCTGCAGCTCTCGTGACAAGAAGGCCTCGAGCACAGCACTGGAGACCCCGCGCTTGTGTTCTCCCAGGCAAAGACCCCGGCTCCTCCAGCTCCTTCCCTCCACGTGCCCACTGCCCGGAGCCGGCCTGCCTGTCCTCTCTGGGCTTCCCTCCGGGCACAGGGAGTCAGGCTGCCCTTGCAAGTCCCTGGTGAGCCACTCACTGCGCTTACCCTGCACAGGGCCTTCCTTGGGGCTTGGGAAAGGGCGAAGTGTCCTGTCGGGGTCAGGCCGGGACCTCATATGAGGGCTGTGACGGGCAGAGGTCAGGGCAGCCAGGACGAATGCATGGCTGTGATCAGGTGTCCTGGCTGGGAGACCCGAGCTCTGCGTATCTCTCCTTTACGACCTCCTGTCCTGTGTTTGCCGAGGATGGTGCTTGTGTTGGGGCTGTGGCTTTTGCTGAGAATAATGTGGCTGTTGGAAAAGTGCTGGGAAGTCATTCCCGAGTGCAGTGTCACACTAGTACTCAAAATTACGCGTCCCGCTAGGCAGGGTGGCGCACACCTGTAAACCTGGTGCTCTGAAGGCTGAGGCAGGAGGACTGCTGCACGTTTGAGGCCAGCCTGGGCTACACAGTGAACTTAAGGCCAGCTTGAACTACACAGCAAGACCCTGTCTCAAAAAACAAAACACACACACACACACACACACACACAGAAAAAAATTACGCCTCCAAGTCCAAACACTGGATGCCTACTACTTCAGCCAGGTACTTTTTCCTTTTCTTCTTTTCCCTTGAGACAGGATCTTGCTCTGTAGTTCAGGCTGGCCTCAAACTCGTGGCGATCCTCCTGCCTCAGCCTTCCCAGGGCTGGGGTCACAGGTGGGTACCCCCACGCCTGGCTTCAGCCCTTTATTTGTGGAGCAGCTCTGGCCCTGCGGCTGAAGTCCCCTGTGGAAGGAACACCCCCCCCCTCCCCGGTCTCCGTGCTCATTCTGAGGAGCACACACAGGGCCGCAAGTGCTCCAGTGTGGGAACTGTGACCCAAGAAAAAGTGCACACATTTTAGGAGCTGCTCGGTTCGGGAAAGCCCTGGAGCTACGAGGGAACCTGCATCCTGATCTGGGAGATAAAGCAGGACAGGGCCTGCAGAAAGATGTGGAAAGAAGCCAGGGGTGGGAACGTCATTTGCACTCGTCTTTATCTGGCTTGTGGGTCCTACAGAGGCCTGGCTCCCAGCCTGGGCTGCTCTGTGCCCCTCTGTGCCAGAGTTCCCCAGGGGCACGCGGCAGCCGGGGAGTGTCTCAGAGGCAGCTCGTGCTAACACACGGCCCTCAGCACAAACTGCCTCTCAGGAGACAACACAGAAAACTGTCACTAGCACCATTTTTTGAGACAGGGTATCACTACGTAGCCCAGGCTGGCCTTTAACTCCCAGCGATCCACCTGCCTCAGCCTCCAAGTGCTGGAATTACAGGTATGCACCACCACACCCAGCTTTTTTCCCTTATTTTTGTTTTTTTGTGATGGGGTCTCACTATGTTCAGGCTGGCCTCCAACTCAGTGATCCTCCTGTCCCCGCCTCCCAACTGCTGGGATTACAGATGTCAGCCACCACGCCTGGCATTCCCCCTGTATTTATATTTCAAAGTTAAATTTATTAGTACATTTTAGATAGACACAATGATCACATTCCTTGTAGGGAATCTGTACCCGGACATGATGTATCTATTCTTTTTTCCTCCATTCCCCTCCCCTCCCCTCCCCTCAAGCCCTCCTCCCCTCCTTATTTACAAAAGCTTTGTTTCCATGTTGTCCCCGCTGCCCTCCGCTCTTGTTCTCCTTCCCATTAGAACATTTTCTTCCTATTTCACAGTGGCTGTTACCCACTCTGGTCCTTACTTACACTTTCGGTTTCTTACACCAGAGGTACAGTGCGGTATTGACACGGGTGTCCGATGTATCTTACTTAAGAGAATGGCCTCACGATGCATGCGTTTACCAGAAAGGTCTCAAGCTTCTCCTTATGGCTGAGTAGTACTCCACTGCATAAAAAAACCCCTACATCTTCTTTATCCGTTCATCAGTTTATGGGCATTTGGGCTGTTTCCAAGATTTAGCTATTACAAACTGTGCCGCCATAAACATCTTTCCCCCTATATTTACTTATTTTTCCCCTCTATATTTAAAAGAACAATAGAAGCTAGGTGTAGTGGTGCACACCTGTAATTCCAGCATTTGGGAGGCTGAGGCAGGAGGATCACCCTAAGTTTGAGGTTA